ATTGGGGAAGACAAATGTGAAAATATACCCGATAATTTATGTGTAAATAGATGGTAATATACGCAACGCACATCTGATAGCTAAGGTAGAAACACCATGGTAACTTTGACCATTTTTTTTTGAAAAGATACTCCGGTATCTTCTGTGTAAATAGCACGGTAGTATACCTCCCTCCCCTGGCATTTTTATGTGTAAATAGCATGAAAACATATGCACTGTGATAACTAAACACCATGATAAGTTTTTGACCCGTGTGTGTGGGGGGGGGGGGATTTGTTGCTGAAACATACACCTGATAAATTTTGTGTAAATAGCATGATATTTGAAGCACTACGGACTTGATAGGTTACCTAGAATCACCATAATAACTTTTTGTCCCGGGAAAAAGTTATTCAAAACATCCCCTCATGGCCGACCTGGCGAGCCTCCTGCCCTCGAGGAAAAAATCCGCGTGCCATGGAAGGAGCCATACACGTACTGACGTACGTCTATAGTGATTCCGGCGGCGGTCTGAGTTCGTCTGACCATCCAGGTTTCTCTGCATGCACGCCGGCCGAGACCTACTCTTCTTTTCGCCGGACAGACGATGGCGCCTCGGGCGCGAGCGGCTTCGCCGAGTAGCGCGATCGGAACTAATCCTGCATGATGGGAGACGGCTGCGGCGTCGTAGGGGCCAGAGGAGAAGGCATCGCACGCATGACCGAGAAGCTTGAAGACTTCCTCAACAGCGGCGGAAAGGTTCTTGTCCAATTGAATGAAGAGATCATTTTTTTACCGCGTCGGCCGTGGAATACCATGTCGAGAAGGCGTGCCAGTAGCGCAAATGGTCCGGGCTCCTGCCCATGGCAGCGCGGACATCGGTGGCGAACATGTTCGCTGCGCCGGTGAGCGAACGTGAAGAGCCGCTGGGCCACGCCTTTGTTCGTATTAAGGCGTCCTATTTGCAGGACGAATATTCAAGATGGTTTTGCTTGCTTTAATTTTCTTCATTTTCTACCTTGATTAGCGGGAGCCCAATAATTACCTGGTGCATGCGACCCTGTTCTCCCGCGTGGTAAGTTTCCACTGATTGCTCCTCCGAATGCATGGTAGTTATTTTCTTTCTCTTTTTCAAACGCCTTATTTATTCTCGCGGTGTTTGTTTTCTAGTTTATAGGATACACGAACGGGATGCGGGGCGGGGAACTTTCTCGGCAGAGTTTTCGTCCGCCTAGACAAATGGCTAAACGCACTTTTGACGTGGGTTAATATAATTTTAATGGTTAGATTAAATTAAGTGTCGCTGATCGTGCGGCTGTAATTAGTTCGTGTTGTTGTGTGTACGTAAGGCTGTATGCACTTAGCGATGAATATGTTTGCTTGTTTAATAATACTAGTATAGATATAGATAGATTTAATAATAGTAGTATAGATAGATGAATATCCGTATCTTTTTGAGGATCTCTGGCGAATTTCGTAATGCGACAAGGGCCAAACCGCAAAAGTTGTTTAATATCTCGCGCTTCGAACGTTATCTCCAACCTCTCGTCTCGTGCCCCATCCACGTCTCTCCGACGTGCCCGCTCCAACTCTCATCCAATGGCCTCGCCGCACGCCGACCCGCAGCAGCAGCACCACGCGTCGGCGCCGCCGCTCCTGCTCGCCGTACTCCGCGTTCCGTTCCCGGGGGCCCAGCGCCCGCGCGCGCTCCCCGCCCCGGACCTCGCCCCTCTCGCGCGCCGCCTCGACGAGCTCGCCGCCGCGGCGGCCGCCCACCCGCTCCTGAGGCCGCTCTTCGACCTCCGCCACCACCTCTCCACCTTCTCCCAGGTACGCAAACGTCCACGCCCCAGTGGGGCTTCGTGAAAGCGCACGCGGGCGATCTTCCGAACTAACGTCGCGCGCCCGGCCGATGCGAGGAGCAGAGCGGGAGGCAGAGGATGGTGGCGATGCGGCAGGCGGCGTGCCCGCTGGCCGGCGGCGAGGGCTGCTTCGCGGCGGTGCTGGGCGGGTCCGTGGCCGGCATGGTGGTGTCCAACGGCGTCAACAGCTTCCTCAGCCTCTACAACACCGTGCTCGTCATCCGGCTCGTGCTCACCTGGTTCCCCAACACGCCGCCCGCGATCGTCTCGCCCCTCAGGTACGCGCACACATTGCAAACTCTAAGGCGCATTATCATCCCAGCACAGCAGTAGTACAAATGATGCGTCAGAAAACCACCACTAAGATGATTCAGAGAACTTGAAATTGGTCACTGGCACCTACTACCACTAAGACGCAATGATCGCAATCACAATCATAATCTTATCTTAGTTAAAAGTCGTAAGGAGGCGCGACAGTGCGAAAGCAGAAAGGCTTTTGCTTCACGGAACAGACGCACAGTTTGGTCTGGTGACTTTCTGAAGATGTTGTTATCGCGTGCAGCACGGTGTGTGATCCGTACCTGAACATCTTCCGGGGCATCATCCCGCCGCTGGGCGGGCTGGACCTGTCCCCCATCCTCGCCTTCCTGGTGCTCAACGCCCTCACCGGCACCGCCGCCGCGCTCCCGGCCGAGCTCCCTGCCCAAACCGGCTCGGTGCGCCCTGACGAGCTCACCGCCAACCAGAGGAAGTGGATGAGGAGATTCCGCCCGGGGAAATCGCAGGAGGCAGAGGATGGTGCTCCTCGCTAGACTCGTGCAATTTTTTGGAGTGCTCCATCAAAATGTGTGTTGTCATTCGGCATGTCGAATTACCACTGAGGCCTGATTTTTCTTCTTCTGAATGTGTATGTAGTGGAACCAAACTGCTTGACTGTAGTGCCATTTTTTGGGTCTTTCTGATGAGTTCCTCACTTTGTTGATTGCTTGTGGAAATGAAACAAAAAACCCATGTTCCACACATAGCAACTAGCAAGGGGAAATAAATATTAAGCAACACATGGCTTTTGGCTTCTAAGTCTGCGAGGATGGAAGTTAACTACAGCCGTTTATGCACATATTTGTTTTAAGAAGCAAAGGCGTACTGGATATCTGTAGGGCTAGCACATAGTATGATGTATGCTCAATGAAAAATGTTTTCTAAACAGATCCACAAAAATTACACGACAAGGTCACAGTTTAGAGGGTTCTTCTCTGCTACTGTACTTGTTATACTGCATCCTGAATGGATCCAGCAGAGACAGGTATCTGCAAGCATTCTTCCGGCTCAAGGGCTGAATCATATACTAATTTACAACATACTATAGTGTACGATGCATTAGCAACATTACTGAACAACTTGGAGCATTTTCATATGTATTGCAAAATTCCTGCGAACTTTGTATGGGGTCATTCAAGTTCAGGAATGCTCTGTGGTACTCTGGATTCAGGACGGAGCTGACCATTTGAACTACTGATCATGCTGGTTTGGGGACTTTTGAGAGGCAAGTAAGAAGTCCAAGACGACCTCGTTGAACCGATTCGGGTCCTCCATCTGCGGCACATGCCCGGTTTCCTTGAAGATTTCCAACCTCACATTCTCTCCCAAGCACCTGAAACCATCGGAAGCACACTAGCAGTAAGCAGACAGGGGGTTATGCTGCAATTTTCAAATTTGCATTACAGTGTGGCAATTTTACTAGTATTTTACAGTATATATGGACCATGGTAAGCAATGGAGCAAAAGTAGGATCGACCATTTCAAGTCACTGTCAGTTCTTGCACTGGGATGGCTATGGATTACCTCTTGATAGCAAATGCCTTGTCCAAAGGGAATATCTGGTCGTGGTCTCCCCAGACGAGCAAAACATCCTGCCATTCATAAGATCGAACGCAAAGTTAACAGAATATTTTGTTGCACTACTGTATTTCAGAAACAGAATACAGTGTGGCTGCGTCGAATTTGCCCTTCATTCTGTTCAGATTTTTACCTGCTCCAAGGGCGTAAGTTGGAACTCATCAGTCCCTACAGTTATGGCCTTCATCAGCTCGATCTTCTCCTCCCTCTTATCACTGAAAAGTCTCTGCGAATTGACAAGATCACTGCTCAGTACTGTACTGGCATTTATCGATCAATTATTAGGGTGGTGCAGCGGCAACAATGGACGGGCCACCTGCACGGCCTCTCTGATCAGGAAGTCCGGCAGCATGGAGGTGACCTGCCTCCGGTAGAACGAGAGCTCCATGAGCCGCCGCGCCGTGCGCGCGTCCAGCGGCATGAGCAAGTCGGCCGCGCTCGCCCACTCGCCGCCGGCGCGCTGGAGGAACGCCCGGTCGTCCTCGGCCGTCTTGAGCAGGTCCGAGTTGGATATCACCACGGGGCCGACCCTCGCGGGCCCCGCCGCGCGCGCCAGGGAGTAGGCCACGAACCCGCCGTAGCTCGTGCCGGCCACGGCGACGCGCGCCGTCGCCGGGAGACCCGGGAGCGCGTCGAGCAGCGCGGCCAGCGCGGCGGCCTGCGCCGACTCGGAGGGCGCCGGGGAGGAGGGGCAGGGGGCGGAGACGCCGAAGCAGAGCAGGTCCGGGACGACGACGTGGAAGCGGCGGGAGAAGGCGCCCACCTGGCGGCGCCACTGCCAGGTCGCCATGGGCCCGAAGCCGTGGATGAGGAGGAGCGGCGGCAGGCGCGGCTCCCCCGCCGGCGCCGGAGCCCAGTAGTGGATCGTTTGGGTCCCGCTGCCTTCGCCGGGGTCGCAGGGGAGGGTGACGGTGTGGGGGCAGAGGCCGGCGGCGTGGAAGGCGCGGCGTGAGAGGTACTCCATCACGGGGAGGAAGCTGAAGCCCATGGCGGCGCGGCGCCGAGCACGTGCACCAGTGTAGCTTGAGCGGCGAAGTGAAACGGACGAGCTGGGTGGGTGGTTATAGCCGCATCGAGCGGCGAGCACAGACACGTCAATGCAAATTCTCTCGGCTCTCGCTCACGTACGTACAGTACAAGTATGGCTTTGGCTATGGACCGACGCGCTGCCCAGAACGACGAATTATGTTACCACTACCTCCCTCCGGGTTCTCCAATGGGCCGACCTAAACAAACGGCGATTTCATCTGCTTTTTGTTTGTTTGGGTCGGCCGCCTGCTCGACATCCGTTTTGTTTTTCATATGGGTCGACAACGCGTTCAACGCGCCGACCCATATGTGCAGGCATGGTCGGCTGGCCGCCGAATTTTACATTGCATTCAGCACATTGTGAAATGAAAATTTAACAAGTAAAATAGTTGAGCCGTCCAAATAAATAGTATAGTTTTACAGGCCAAATAAAAATAAAAATGTTTCACATAGTTTTGCAAACGAATAAAAGAAGATACATCTATTGGTTGTCAACATGAGTCCACATATACTCAACCAAATCATTTTGCAGTTGCACGTGAGTTTCTCAATCACGCATGTCTTCATGAAACTGAGTGAATTGCTCAAATGTTGCCGCTACTCCATGCTCAGGCACAACATTCTCACCCTGAAATTGGAAGCCTTGATCGTACAGACGTTCCGGGTGCTCGTCTTCTACGATCATATTGTGCATGATCACACAAGTAGTCATCACCTCCCATAGTTTCTGCGTGCTTCATGTATTAGCAGGATACCGAACGATGCCCCATCGAGATTGCAAAACACCAAAGGCACGCTCAACATCCTTTCTAGCACTCTCTTGCTCTTGGGCAAATCTTTTCCTTTTCTCTCCGACAGGGTTGGGTATTGTCTTTACAATAGTGGTCCACTGAGGATAGATATCGTCACCCAAATAATACCCTTTGTCGTAGTTGTGATCGTTGACAGTAAAGTTCACCGGTGGGCTATTGCCTTCGGCAAGCCTAGCAAACACCGGCGAGCGCTGAAGCACGTTGATATCATTGTGTGATCCAGCCATACCAAAGAAAGAGTGCCAGATCCATTCTTGAGACGCCACGGCCTCTAGTATGACAGTGCAAGCCCGGACATGTCCCTTATACTGCCCTTGCCAAGCATAAGGGCAGTTCTTCCACTCCCAGTGCATGCAGTCTATACTGCCAAGCATCCCCGGGAAGCCCCTGCTAGCATTCATCGTCAACAAACGGGTTGTATCTTCAGCCGTCGGCTCTCTCAAGTACTCAGGGCCAAACACAGCAATCACAGCCTTGCAGAACTTATACAGGGACTCTAGGCATGTAGACTCGCTCATACGGACGTACTCGTCAATGAGATCACCGGGCACTTCGAATGCAAGCATTCGGATGGCGGCAGTGCATTTCTGATAAGAGGAGAAACCAATCTTGCCGACGGCATCCTCTTTGCACTCGAAGTAGTCATCATAGCCGACCACTCCCTCTCTAATACGATTGAAAACATGCCTACTCATACGGAACCGGCGGCGGAATTTGTGATGTTTGAACAACGGGTTTGTTGTATCAAAGTAGTCCTTCCAGAGAAGGAAATGCCCGCTCTCCCGGTTCGATTCAACGCCGGGAGGTGGCCCGGAATGGAGCCACGGAACAACGGCTGCTGGTTGTTGAGGTGGTGATGGACCAACACGGCATCCAATATCTCCTCCTCGTCGTCGGACGACGAATCGTCGGAGTCGCAAATGAAATTGTGGAAAAAGAACTCGTCGGTGGAGTCCATTTTCGTACCTTGGCAAACTGTCGAACAGCTTGCGGACGTCGAAGAAGGAGACGGCCGGCGAGGGGAGACGCGGCGCCCCCAGACCAGCTAGCTGCCCTGCCGGAGTCCGACGAGTGTGACAGCGTCGGACGAGCGTGCCGGTCGTATCTGACGGGGGCGACGAGGCGTCTTCTTGGTCGCGGGTGGCTGGGTGGTGGGGGAAGCGGCGGCGGGAACCAGTTTGCTCCCCGACGGCAAAACAGCGGCGGCGGGCGACTGGGGGCAGGGGCGGCGTTGCTGGCGGATGTGGAGGCGGCGGCAGCTGGAAGAGTCGCCGGCAAAAATGGGCGGCGGCGTCGGTGACGGAGGAGGCGGGGGCGAGGGTTGCTTGTTGGCCGGGGAGAAGGGAGGCCAATGTGCCACAGACCAGCGGGTCCGGGGACAGGAATAGGCGAGCACGCACGCGTCCGTCGCGTGTCCGCGCCGACGCAAATCAGGCTCAAAAATTGGCCGGGAATGGGTCGCCCGCGGACGAAAAACGGACGCGCGTCCGTTTAGGTCGGCGCATTGGGCCGCCCTTTCTGTCCGCGCCGACCCAAATGAACGGCCGCGGACGAAATGGGTCGCCTCATTAGAGTTGCTCTTAGCCCCTTTTATTTTACGCCAAAATTTGATCATTGATTTAAACTTATAAAATGTTAATATCCTACATAATAATGTATCGTTGGAAACCTCTTTCAAATACAAATCTATCAATATACTTTTTATAGCATATGTGCTAGATTTTTTGAGCCAAATAGATGGTCAAAATTGGACCCAAAATATAAAGGTCCTAATAAACCCGGACGAGGGAGTATCTCCGATCCATATTAACTATTACTGATTTATAGTAAACTGTACTGAATCATCGATAATTAATATGGATCTAAGAGAGTATTACAAGATTTTTATTTTACTTATAAAAAAGTGATTTTTATCGACTTCTAATGTCCCGTTGGTACTACATATAAAAAATACATTTGACCTCCGCATGAGTAAGATATACTCCCAACACCAAAGCACACAGTATATAACGCCGGTAAAGAACAAAGCCGTACAATATCAAAGGCAATGCCACCCTCTGTCCTGTGATGCCACTTTCATTAGTTGGTGGTACTCGGCTGAAGCTGGGCTCCACGGCGCAGGAGAAAAACCCTGAATTCGTTGGCCATGTTGATCATATAGACCATATGAAGGGAGAGGAATAGCTGGATGTTTTCTAACAAATCAAATTTTATCCTGAAAATCCTAGATCAAGTCCAAACCGATGCAAAAGCTTCTGGCCTTAGATAGCTCTCTGGTGTTTGGTGCTTCAGGTGTGGTCTGGTAGTTTTTTGCTGGCTCCTAGGTTTTAGTTTTTTGGTTTTGGGTCGTAGCTCGTCTGGTGATCTGCCTTTCCCCCCTGTTTTCAGCACTTGTAAGATTTTGTATCAATCGTTATCCTATCCTTTATCTTAATGCACCATATCCAGCTCTTCGGTATGCTTCGAGAAAGAAAATGTCAAGACCCATGCTGAATAACAACATCATTTACCACATGTTTAGGGTGTACACACCATCATAAATATAGTAGTTGTTTGGTGTTTGCATTGATGAATGGTAGACCATAAATGGGATCAATGCATACACTGATAACTCGTAGATAAACTGCAGTGGGCCGCTCATTTCATTGATCCCTACCCCGAAGATGGGTTCGCAAAAGACGGTGACGACGACTTCTGTAGCATGCACATGTAATGTGCGCCAATGGTTTGCTGGACCGGTGCTCCTGTTTTAAATGGTGTGCGTAGGGGTGAGGTCAGGGCAAGTGGCCCTGATCATGATCATCAAGCTTGTAGGTGCAACGTCTTTTGTCGCCTAGACGGTGAATTTGAAAGGATCGATGTTTTACCTTGTAAGGCATTGTTGAGCTAATAAAAATGGTTGTGTGCACTACTCCCTATGTAAACAAATGTAAGACGTTTTAAATCAGTACTTTATGCCGATAAAATTTGCAGAAACAAATAATATATCAACTGCCAGTGACACGAATGAGCAACAGATTAATCGCATCAACTTCAAAGAATATATTTGGTCGAAGAAGAACCACGCAACAATACAAGTCAACTCTAAGTCTTAACGCGAATGGCATTTGCTGCCATATGAACGAACATAAACACTCCATGAGATAGACCATACAAAGGAGCTTTGCCGCAACCACCCATTTGCATCGAGATTCGTATAGTAGTTTGGTCAATTGCATGTGTTCTAGCCTTTAATCACCACTAATGGGCCCATGCGTGCAACTTTTAGCAGAGTTGCATGCTCCACACATGCCACCTCCCATTCCTTTTCAATTCATCTCCAAATTTGAATCTAGTCTATCTTTTCAACTGAAAGTCCAAATCAAGATTGTTGCATATTCATGTTTGTTGCGACGAATACCTTCGACAAGACCAATTTTGAAAGCATTCTGACAACTTTTAAATTTTTACCAAGTTTCAAATATTTAAACTTGATAGTCGCAATATTAAGTTTTTACTTAGTTTCACTAACTTTCACCAAGTTTCATTTGCTTTTAGGATCAAGTGTTTGGGGCTTAGGGCTTTGGGGTTTGGATTTAGGGGCTTAGAGCTTAGGGTTTAAGTTTTGCTTTTGAAACTTGCTGAATTTATCACCGTTCCTACAACGTTGGCACAGGTGTGTCATCCCTTTTCAAGGCGTTTGCCGCAAGATGCCGACTTAGCTGCATGTGTCTTTTGGTCAAATCTTGTAATGTGTCTACTTTTTTGGCATTTATGCACTTTGTTACAAGGTATTTTTGGTCTCGTTGCCTTACCTTTATTCAATAAAATGATGGTTGTGTGCATCCTGCGATGCAAAGGTCCGGAGGTATCCTTTTAGAAAAAAAATACCATGCTGATTTTTCTTTGACATCCAGTTACGTTAGATTTCATAGAAGCATTTTTATCCTTTATAATTCTTTGGGGAAAAAAATCTTATGCTTTCTTTGTACATAATCAAATATCAAAGATGACGTGACACTCTAATCCTGCATCCAAGAATCATGCAAATCAAATAGACCCTGATTGATGTACGCATTAGTATACACAACAACTCTGAATGCATGGGCCCAAATGGCTAAGAAATCTTATTGCAAATCAGTGGAGTAGCGGGTGGCTATGCATCTCATAGCGAGCTGCCATTGGTGCGAGCAGGATCTGCGGGCTTGTCCGCAGCCACCAAGAAGTCGAGCATGATGTTGTTGAACCGGGCCGGGTCCTCGAGCTGTGGAGTATGGCCCGTTTTCTTGATGATCTCCACTCTAGCTTTCCCATCCAATGACCTGAAACCAAAGTGCAGATCAGTGCGTGACCAACACAAACTGAAACCACCTGATCATGAAGGAAACTTAGTAAGTAAATATACCACACGCGGTAAAAAATGGTCCATGTAGTAAATGATTTACTTCCTCCGTCCGAAAATACTTGTCATCAAAATGAATAAAAAGTGATGTATCTAGAACTAAAATACGCCTAGATACATCTCCTTTTATCCATTTTGATGATAAGTATTTCCGGACGGAGGGAGTACACATTTATACGAGTACCTCTGAATTGCGTAGGCCTTGTCTAGTGGGAACAACTGGTCGTGCTCTCCCCACACAATCAACACTTCCTGCATAGAAATGCATACAATGTGGTAAAAAGGTTAGCTGAGACAAGAGAGTTTCAGTAAATGCGTTGGTCCAGGCATTAGGTGAGCACATTGAAATAGAGAGTATACCTGAGACAATGGTGTGACTTGGAACTTGTCGGTGCCGACTGTGATCCCCTTGAAAAGATGGGTGAGCTGCTCCCTGTTGTCCATGAACAGTTTCTGACAGGAGGCAACAAGATCATCTGGTTCAGTGCTGTTCTTGTTTCTTATCTGATGTCCCCCAAGGGACGACAGTCCTACTATTGCTTACATCTATCTACCGGCTCTACTGCCATTTTAAGACCGGAAACG